ATCCATTTTATTAGGAAATGGAGCCCTTAAAAAAAGTCTTTGAACTTTCCTTTTCCTGCCTTCTGCTATCATTTCCTGCCCCTAGATTCCAAACAAAGGTGAGTACAGAAACACACGGAAAAATGTACAAGATGAACTAATATTTACAAAACCAAAAGCATGTGTTCAAAACAGACTCTGGTCTCTTCAGAATATAAACATATTTTGTGAATTCACATTTTAATGCCTATTTGCAATGTTACCAATCTTTACATGCAGTGGGGGGAAAAACTATATGGAAATTGAATCATCACTTGAGTAGAAAACAATGATAAAGTGTGAAATACAGATAAAGTTCATTAAAAATTGATACTAATTTGTTTATAAAAATAAGACTTGCTAAATAAATCTAGAGTAATTCATTTTGAATTGGAAACTATTGTTTTTCTGTTGCATAATAACTACCTTATCTTGAAAAATAGCTTGGTCAAACAATAAAGTATATTGTTATCTTAAAAAAGAAAAAATAGAAGTATGTACACACGTCACAACGTGGATGAACCTTGAAAACATTATGCTAAGTGAAAGAAGCCAGACACAAAAGGACAAATATGTTATGTTTCCATTTATATGAATTGTCCAGAATAGGCAAATCGATATAGAGGGAGAATAGATTAGTGGTTGCCAGGGACTAGGAAGAGAGGAGAAAGGAAAGTGAATGCTAATGGGTGTGGGGTTTATTTTGGGGGTGATGAAAATGTTCTGGAATTAGATAATGATGTACAATTTTGTGAATATGCTAAAAATGCTGAATTATACACTACAAAAGTGTGAATGTTGTGTTATGTGAATAATGTCTCAATAAAAACAAATAAAGAGAAATATATCACAGTATAGAAGTGAGTGTCACCCCGAAGGGGAAGCAGGGTGCGGACAGGTATGTCTCTGTGGGGCGGCCTCCCAGAGAGAAGGCACCTTCCGAGCCTGGATTTAAAGGACAGCGGGGTTCATCAGACTGTGGGAAGGAAGGGCTTTCTAAGCTGAGGGAACAGCATGGGCAGAGGCTGCTCTCAAAGACAGGAAATAGTGTGGTGTACTCTGGTCACCACCAGTCCTCTGGTCGCTATGGGAATAAATCTTGGTGCCTAAACTCAGAGTCATGTTTTATTATTCATTTCTCACTGTGAGCCCCATTCCTCCAGGCTGCACAAAAGCTCTGTAAGATGCTCCCGGGTCCTATACTTGGTCAAAACGCGAGGTCAGCCACCAGTCTTCATGGCTTAGCACGGAGATGCCTTTGTCCCCATCCTCTCCCTGCCTCTGCGCTAGGCCAGGAACCCAGTGCGGATGGTTCCCATGCCTGATGCACTGTGGGAGCCACGCCTCCCAGGGTCTTGTCTCTACACACCCTTCCCAGAAGCAGGGCGGGGCTCCTGCTGCAGAGGCCTCCCATCTCCTACTGGAAGAATCACTTTCTGGTCTCAGAGCAGCTGATGTAGGGGATGGACATTTGTTCACCCCAGTAAACCACTTCCTTTAGCTCTTCTGTAAACTCCCAAAATGGTCCTCAAATTTTCTCCAGGGGTGAGCATGAACATAGTCCCCCCTGCCACAATTATGCAGTAGAGTTTCCCACATTCGGGGAAATCGCAGGGGTCAGCACATCCGAGTGCAAAGAATAAGACTCGCCCTGGGAAAACCACCTTCATGATCAGGTAAGTATGTCCTCAATTTTTGAGCAAAGACCCAGCAAGACTATCAGACTACTCCTGCTTGAATGGGAGGAAGAAAAAGGAGATGCCATAAAGAGAAAAAAGAAAAACTTAATATTCCAGAGGATCCAGCGTTATAAGGGGTCACAGTGTCTGATTGACGGGCTCAGTAAGGCCACAGGGTGAAGGGCCCACTCGAGGGTCCCTCTGAGTAGGAACTTTTGGCTTCCCAGGTCCAAGAGCGCCAAGAGGACAGCCAAGCAGAGCAGGTGAAACTGGCAGGGGTCCCCGCAGGAGGCTGGCCTGTTACCTTGGCCCTTTGTCGGGGTGGGTGGCAGGAGACATTGGAAGGGTCAGCAGTAGCAGGAGCTGTCAGCCTCTGGACGGACAGGGGACAGGACAGCGAGGGCTTGCAGGGGGCAGGTGGGGCCGGAGCTTCCTCCGAGGAAGAGGGGGTCGGGAGGGTGAGGCTGGATCTCCAAGCTGTTCCCACACACACGTGATGGGGGGGGGGAGCAGGGAGAAGCAGAACACAGAGGTGAAAACAGTTGCGGGGTCAGCTGGCCAGGTCACCCACGTTACTTTGTGGGGAGGATGTTTATTTAAGGAAAATCACTATGTTTACTCAAAGCTTTGGGCTGCAGCCCTTGGGTGGAATTATCAGTGAAAGCTGGGCTGTTAATCAATGGGGGGAGGGCCTGGTGACAGCCTTCTTTTCAGGGAGAGTGGGAGGGACAGGGGGGAGGGGGAGGATGGGAGAAAAGGGGGTGGCCGGGGCCCAGCCCTGTGGGAATAACTCTGATCTCAGGAGCCGGAAGGTCGCGTGGGAAGTGGCCTTGAGGTGGCGCCAGGGGTGGGAGGGGAGCAGAGCGTGGCGTTTCCATGGCACAGGAGTCATGGGACAGAGCTGGACGGAAATCACACTTGGGGATGCTCCCTGGCCAAGGCCAGGTTGCCCGAGGAGGAAGGATAAACTTCCTGGATGGACACCCAGACGCCAAGCCCTGGGGGAGGAGGGCAGGGGTGGGGGGCTGTGGTGTTGTGGGGCAGTGGGGTCTCTCCAGGCCATTGCCAGAACCTTGGACAAAGCCTGGACAGAGCATGTGCGCTGCGTCAGGAGCGGGAGGGGGGGCTGGGCCAGAGGCATGGCCCCAGTGACTTCCCATTTGCCCTCAACGCCACTCAGCAGCCAGCTGGGTGGAGAGAGGGCTGTGTGCTGGCCCCACTGGTGAGCAGGCTGGGCAGTGGGTAGCAGCTGATAGGGTGCTGCATGAGCCATGCACAGGCTTGAGAGGAGCCTCAGGGCTGGGAGGGCAGCTGGTCAGAGAGAGGACAGATGGAGGAGATGCCCAGCATGTGTGCCCGGGGCCTGGGCAACTAAGGCCACGTCCCCTGAGCATGGCATGGCAGAAGATCTCTTTATAGGGGACTCAGGACAGAGCAGGGCCGCTCTCACTGGCCATCTGGTCCATAGTTTGGGACAACTGTCCCGTGAGAACATAAGAAGTGATGGAAGGAAGAAAGGAAGGAAGGGAGGGAGGAAGGGAAGGGAGAGAGAAGGGAAGGGAGGGAGGGAGGGAGGAAGGGAGGGAGGAGGGACGGGAGTTGAGGAGAAAGGACCTCTCCTAATGATGACACCAGTAGCATCTACCTCATCATGGTGTGGGAGAAGGTACATGTGAAACACCAGGCCCAGGACACACTAAGTGGTTGGTAAATGCCCCTGGTGTTATGGTTATGACTGCCTTTCTTACATCCAGGCTCTCCTCTTCCCTCGCCCACACTCCACTCACTCCCCACAGGCTATAGAACAACCAATTATGGGAACCCGCTGCCACGGGTTCACAGGGCCTCAGGGCCCTTTTCCACCACTTTAGTTGTGTTATCTTGGGCTGCCTACTTAACCTCTCTGTGCCTCAGTTTTCTTATGTGCAAAACGAGGATGGTAAGGGTGTCTTATAGTATCATAAGGATGGAGTGATTAGCACGCGTAAAGTATTTAGCATAGGGCCTTGGCCCAGAGCAAACACCAGATGAAGGTTACTGTGGTGGTGGTGGTGGGCGGGGCTGGGGCGATTGGTCCTACCTGTGCTCCAAGGTGAGGTTCCCCATGCGTGGATCTGCCAGGCTGGGCAGTGGGGCCGCAGGCAGCGGGCAGACTCTCCCCTGCGGGACGTGGAGTGGCGATAACATCAGCTCTCACTGAGCCTGGAGACGAAGCTGCAGGAGGCTACTCCTCGAGGTGGGATTTGTGTTCCAGCTCTGGGCTGGCAAGGACGGAAGAAGAGCCCTGCAGCCTCCCACCCTCCATTCTCCCGACTTCCTGGGCAGATCCCGCATCTCAACCATGAAAGGTCATGAAAGGTCAAGCCAGGCGACCTCTTCAGAGAGCAGACCCCCGAAGATGCTTTCTGCTCCATAAAGCAGTTTCTTTTACAAGAAAACAGAAAGGCAATCCAGTAAGCGACCTGCCCCTTCTGTGCATCTTAAAAACCATACAAACATCATGAAATGGGGTTAAGCATCCGGTCAGGTGTCCTCTGAGGGAACGGAGAACTGGATTCTGTTCTTTTTAAGGGAAGGGGCGCCTCTCAAGGAGTTTTCTGTGGTGGTGAGTTGGCAGCTGGCAGGTGGGGGAGGGCAGCCAACGGGGCCCATCTGGCTGGGGGGAGGGGTGAAGGAAGAGGCGTGGGTGTTTCTTGTCCATCACCACCTGCAATCTCACCACCACTCCGTGTGTGGCCCCGTCCTGGCCCGCCCGCCCTCACTGGCACACTGGACTCCAGTGGGTGGAAATATTGGAAGATTCCTCACTTGCTCTCTCACTGTTGTTGTCTCTTCCTGGGTTAACCCCAATCTTAGATTCCCCCAAATAGAGCCTGAATGAGGACTTGGGTGCAGGTAATTTATGTGGAAGGTGATCCTGGGAGGGATGGGGAAAGCGAGATGGGAAAGGAGGAAAAGTCCGTAGACGGGTGTGTTATCAAACTGGCCTCTGTGGGAAGCGGGGCTCAGCTCCCCTGGAAGCACCTGAGAAGTCTTCAGCAGGCTAGCCAGAATTTCTACCCACTGGCTCCGTCCCCACTGGTGGGAATGAAGTGCTGCTGCTGCTGGCCTAGGCTCTCCTGTGGACCCTGCTGGCACCCGCAGTGTGGGAGAGAGAGCCTTGGGGCAGGAACTAGAGGCAGGGGCAGGCTGGTGGGGCAGTGTGCGCTGCAGCTGTGGGGGGAGCAGAATGGCCCAGGCCCTGCAGGATGGGCACCAGAAGCCGTCCTATGCCCCTAAGGGCACTGTTCATCTTGGTGTTCCTGGTAAATGCTTAGTAAATGTGGAATGACCAGGCCACCAGGGTACAGAGAGCCCAGTGACACAGCAATGGTGGAGTCTCCAGCTGAGAACTCTAGACTCCTGACTTTCCCTCCAGCGGGGCTGGGGGATCTCCTCCCTGCTACCCAACCCCTAGCTACGCATCAGCTCAGAGCCTCTTCAGAAACTAGACTCCGCAGAATGAAGGCACTGGACACTTTCCAGGGATCAGGCACAAGGAGGAAGTAGAATTGCTGAATCAGATAGTAACCCCCAACTACTGTGTCTCTCCATGCAAGATTCAAATTCTAGGAAGAGTGTCCGAGTGGCCTTACTCAAGTCATGTGAACACTCCGTGGCCAGGAAAGAGTGAGGCACTTCGGTGGACAGTCCCACAAATGGGAGAAGAGTGTTCCTCAAAGCAACGTTGGGGTGCTGTTACCAGCAGAAGTGTTGGTGGATGAGGGCAGCCTGGAACTGCAGGCTATAACATTGGGAATAACAGCTAACCTTTCCACTCCATGGAGTTGTGCGGCCCCCACAAAATCATGTGTGTGGCAGAACTTTAAAAAATATGAGATGCCCTCAAAATAGATATTCATGAGACCAGAGGTGGTTAACTGGAAAGAAGGAACTGACCATGGTGCCAGGATGCAGCTGTTCCTCTGAGCACTTCGAGACCTGGGCTGCCCTGACCTGCACCCAGAAATTCTGTCCCCACCCTTATACAGGAGCCACCTCTCAGATGTGCTGACTCCTTGAGCCATATCCTCATGACCAGCTTCTTCCTTCTTTGGACACCAACTATAAACCAGGTCCTTGCGTCTCCAGAATAAGACCTCCTCGCCTTCAAGAAGCAAACAGTCTAGAGATAAATGAGGAGCTATTTCTGTAACAGTCAAGTGTGATGGCTTCTAGAACTCAGGCAAGCAAAAGGCACTCAGGTACCGGAGAGGAGGGAGAAAGGGCCTGCTGATGCACTTATCCAACCAGAATTTAGGGCGGGACCCCTGCAAGCTTGGCTCTGCATTAGGTGCAGGATTCGTAGTGAACAATGCAGCCTCTTCCTATCTTGCCCGGGCAGTTCAACCTATGCCTCCACCGCCCGAGCCAGGACCTGCCCTCTCGGCTGCCTGCACCTGCAAGGAACGCCCAGGAAGTGCACCCCCTCATCCAGTCTGTTCTGACATCCCTGGCCAGAGTGAGTACTTGAAGCTTCTAAAGCTGTGTTAGTCCAGACCCTCGGAGGCACAAATACCAACATAGGATTGGACACACCAAGGTTTTACCTGGGGACATACCAATGAGAGAAAAAGAGGAGAGGGAGTCAGAAAGGTTGGGAGGGCCATCCAACGTCGATGCAAGTCTTACTGCGAGGGAAGGGCAGAGGGAGGTTGGGTGAAAGCAACTAGACTGTCCTGCCATTTCAGGAAGGCCCGGCAAGGCTGTCGGGTCCTCTGCTGTCTTCCGGAACTGGTTGACCCCGTTCCTCTGTGACCCTGTCACTGACTGGGAGCAGTCGGAGAGAAGTGTGGCCTCAGCTGTGAATGAGTTCAGAAAAACAGCAGCGGGAGCATGCAGTTAAATTCCATTCCCGTCGCTGCGGGTCTGCGAGGCTCGTTCTCATTGGGCTTCTCAAAGCACTGGGTTCTCCAAATCACACCCCCAGTTTGATGCTTAAGCAAAGACCATCTTCTGCACTCGCAAGTTCTTTTAG